GGCCGGACGCCCCTGTGTGCCAGGAGCATGTCTTTGATGGAGCGGCTGCGTGGAGTTGCCTGGCACGAGGAGTCTGAGGGCACCGCGGTAGTCGGGACCAGCTGCTGCACCTGCATTCCCACCTGGCCGGCGAGAGGACGAACAGACCTTTCACAAGCAGTCAACAGGCTCGCACGCGCGTTTCTAGTGCTTAAAGCCTATTTACAGGACAAGTGGGAACTTAAAACGATGATGCACGTGGAGGAAAAAATGAGGTTTTGCTACAGTGGTGCATCACACGCTTGTCCAACCCTTTTCTCCGACGGGCGAACTCCTACCACTAATTCAAGGTCTTTTTTTTCCCCAAAACCAAAAAACCAAACAAACCCAACTAAAAAATTTGTTATTAAGCACGGCTCGGTCAGTAAAATAAGCAGATGAAATCTGAAAGAACCATCACCAGCCGCACAGGAAAGTTTTCACTACTTCCTAAATGGTTGTTTTTTCGGTGAAAGGAAAGTACATGTGAGACGTGTCAAGACATTTAAATAAGAGTAGTCCACTAGATCAAAAACAAATTATTTCAGGCGTCAAAGACTGTCCGCTTCAGTGTTTCAGAGTTGTCAGGTTGCCTTTATAAATCTGTTAGGCTAGGACGAGACTAGCCTTTCCGAGAACACTGATCCATCATATACAGTATAGTGACATAATCCTGATTCAAACTGCACCTGTCTTGGATGGCTACTTCCATGACTGAAGGCAAGAGCAACGGTTAAATGCGTCAAAACCTACAGCTTCACTGTAATAAAAATAATACAGAACTTGGAAAAGCGTGTCACGATGTGCCACTCGCAGGGCTCGGTGCCAGTTCGCCCCCTGTCAAGCAGAGAAGACCGACACCAAGAGGCCCGGCCGCCACTCACCCCTCTCATGTCAGACACATTCAGCTTCATGGAGTGGAACAGCTTGAGGACTTCGGAGCCCAGGACCCTAGCGCTGTCCGTTGCCTGGTCCAGGTTTACCGTCCTGCAGGGACAAACAGTAAAGTCTAGGGAGACTGTCTGCCTGGACAGGGTCCCAAGTGAATCCACAGTATCCACAGTGACATAAGCACAGCATATACTG